TATTCCTGAGATTCATTTGGAAGACCAATGATTCTATATTGCTAATTGGCAAGATGGAAGTCTGTGAAACAATTTCTATCAGTCTTTATGCACAGATTTACTTTGCATACACTACAGACGAATGACGATGTTACCGTTTTTTTCGAGGTGCTGCAATACTTGCAAGTAAACGGCCTTTGCCCTGCCATTGGAAAGTGCATTAGAGTCATGTCTTTCCTAACACTGTCATCAGGCAATTCTGCACGTGTTCCCCTCCCAGGTTTCACTATGCCAACACCATTGGAAGTACATGGTGAATTAGTTGGTGAAGGTCTTGGAGTTGTTCTTAGGCTGCTCCCTCTAAGGTTTTGTCCTTTAGACCTTGCAATTTCAGAGATAGAATTCCTGAAATACTTCAGTTGCATACACTTTTGCTTTATTGCTCGAGAATCACGGCAATAAAGCACCCATGCATTCACAACAGCAAGATCAATAATATAGGCAAATAGCCGCATGTACCAACGTTTTGATTTCATTGGTGTTTTGTAGAGATGCACCAACATGTTGCTTTTGTCAATACCTCCCATGTTTGCATTATAGTTCTTGATGACTGCAGGGCACGATATTTTCTCTTTCCTCTTTGTACCCTTGTTGTATCTCTCAACAAGACTCATGGGCTCGACCCCAATATCAGTTGTCACTAAAGTCACAACTTTGGTGTCCTTCCATCGTACAACAAGGACACCATCATTGTTGTTGAAGCAAAAATTGCCCCTGGCCACACTGTTTTTTTTTCCATTTGTTTGATAGGCACCAGATGTGGCTTACCACATCTATTGTCACGTACTGTTCCAGTGTATCTGCAGTTATACTTATCTCTTAGTAGCTTGACCAAAGGCATACTTGAAAAGAAATTGTCAGCATAGATTGCTGATGTGTTTGTCTTGTTCATAGTTTGTGCAAGTACCAGAACAATCTTTGTACTTATTGGAAGTTTACATTCTTCCTGTGGCAGCTGTATGGGATGTGTGTCAAAAGTTGTTGTGCCTTGATACATGAGTATATCATGTATGAGTCCATCTTGACTTGCACGACACGACAGAAAAGTTTGAAACCCCACTTATCTGGTTTTGTTTTGATGTACTGCCTTAGGTTTCCAGCAGTTTTACCCTTGAAACCAACCATGACTTCATCAATAGATTGCTTGGGTGTAGCTGGAATTTTCAAGCAAGCATTAGTTAGTTCAGTGTAAAGAGCCTTACTTTGTAGAATCTGTCATTATCCTTTTTTGTGTTGTCATTGAAATGAATATGACTTCTAAGGTACCTAAACCTCTTAGACGCCATGCTCTCTGCAACCTGTTGGCTCCTAAAACCAGCTTTCCAATAGTCTTCGAGGGATGGTAGTGAATTAATACCCATGAACAACAAAATACCTATGAACCTCATGATCTCTTCAGAATCTGTTGAAAAAGTACTATTTACGTCTTGTTGCCTTGTATACAAATTTGTTTGATATCTATGTTATCTATCATGGCTGGAGTAACGAACATACGAAAATACTCATATGGAGACCTAATTGCAAGAGGCTTTTCATGTTCATATGCCGGCAAAGGATCATTTCAATGTCATCTACGGTCCACTCAGATGAAACTTGAAGAGCAATATTCTCATGGATCTCTTCCTCATCCGGGTATGCCTCAATCCTAAAAGTTTTCTTTTTCCTCATTACTTTCTGCTTTTTGGCTGGCCTTTCTTCCCTTTCTTCCTCATCATCAGTTGACATCTCTGCATCCTGTGCATCCGTTGGCAAGTATTCATCACCACTATCCAGCAATTCTGGTTCGTCTACCTCTGGTTCTGAGTCACTGTCTTCAGAAACGCAGATATACCTCGACCTGCTGGTCGACTGCTCCCCATAAAACAGCCTCTCATGGAACTGGAAGGACAATAGAAACCTCCTGTATAAATCCAGACCACTACAGAGTTCATATATGCAATTGAAAATTTTTTATAAATATTTATTTGACTAAAATTGGACATTCCCGGAAACTCGCGCAATACCGAAATAATTCGGACTAAAATGCATGCACTTTTTTCAACTGCATGCTACACTCATATTATGCTTCACACGGACTTTAGGTATATATCAAAATATGCCTAAACTATTCATGTAAGCACTAAACACAACAATCAGAATATATAATCCAAGAGTAGATTAGCAAGGGTGGAGGGAAAAATGCGCGTGTGTTCGAAGCAAAGCCGCTAGTGTTTATATTTTGATCTCTCAACCAATGGGAAGGCGGCAGAAGCGAACTGTACTTAGCTGAAGAGACTCAGGGAAGGCTTGTGATTGGTTGGAACTAAAGAACGGGAAGCTGGCTGCGCTGGGCGCGAAGTATGACACGCGCCAAAAACACGTAATCAATACCGAATTATTTCGGCCCACCCCGATAAAGGGTTAAACACTTGTTCAGGTTTCAGTCCTTCACTGTCTATGTACTCCTTGAAGTCCTGCACATATTTTTCAGCTGATTTGTGGTCCGAACTGGCAGCCTCACCATGCCTTATCACACTATGAATGCCACTACGCTTCTTAAATCTCTCAAACCAACCTTTGCTGGCCTTAAATTCACTCACGTCACTAGTTGCTGGCATTTTTCTAATTAAATCGTCATGCAACTTCCTAGCCTTTTCACATATGATCGCTTGAGAGATGCTGTCTCCTGCTATCTGTTTCTCGTTTATCCACACCAATAAAAGTCTCTCAACATCTTCTATCACTTGCGATCTCAGTTTCGAAAACATAGTTGCACCTTTGGCAAGAACAGCTTCCTTGATTGCCGTTTTCTTGCCCACAATAGTAGCGATGGTTGATTGGGGTTTATTATACAACCTGACCAGCTCAGAGATACGCACTCCACTTTCATATTTATCAATGATCTCTTTCTTCATCTCCATAGTAATTCTTACCCTTTTTGCTGTAGGGTTGGCACTAGAAGCTTTCTTGGGGCCCATGGTGACTTATTTTGCAGGTGCAATCACTAAAAAGGCTGTGATAATATGAAATGTTCCAGTTGTATGTTTGGAAACGACCGCGGTGGCTGGCTGGCTTGTAAACACTGGCACCAAAGGGACAAGTGAGGCGTGCTCAGGCCAAAGTGGATGCTTATGGTACGGAATGAATAGCGCTGGTCGGGTTTTTAAGCGCTAGTCGAGGCAAAATTTTTGCGTTATAATGTATCGCTAGTCAGATTTATCGTTAATCGATGCCATCGTTGGTCGAGGGTCCACTGTATTTTTTGTGTGAATAAAAATTACAAATTATTTATATAATAATAACAATAATAATAATAATACACATAATAATAATAATATGTATAATAATACATAATATGTATAATAATAATAATATGTATAATAATAATAATACGTATAATAATAATACAACAGTTGTATTCTGAGCACCTCTGCAAAAGCAGTGATAATGTGTGAATGTGGTGAGAGTGTTGAATGATGATGAAAGTATTTTCTTTTTGGGGATTTTCTTTCTTTTTTGGGTCACCCTGCCTCGGTGGGAGACGGCCGACTTGTTGAAAAAAAAAAAAAATAGTAATAGTACACCTACCATCCGACTTACAACCTGCTCGACTTACGACCACTCGACTTACGACCACTCGACTTACGACCGTGTTTTTTATGCCAAATTTCTGGGAAATAAACAACTATTTGTGTTGTACACAGTGTTTATCCTAAACCTTACAGTATAAAATACAGTACTAACAACATAAAAAGTAAAGTAAAACATGAAATACCAAAATAAAACAATAAAATAGTCATTACAAAAATGTTTTGTTGATGTTCAGTAGTAAAGTTCGACTTACGACCATTTCAACTTACGACCGGTTTCTCGGAACCGAACTCGGTCGTAAGTCGGATGGTAGGTGTATAATAATACAGTAATAATAATAATATGATATTTATTTATTTTTTTTTTTTTTTATTATCACACTGGCCGATTCCCACCAAGGCAGTGTGGCCCCGAAAAAGAAAAACTTTCACCATCATTTCACTCCATCACTGTCTTGCCAGAAGGGTGCTTTACACTACAGTTTTTAAACTGCAACATTAACACCCCTCCTTCAGAGTGCAGGCACTGTACTTCCCATCTCCAGGACTCAAGTCCGGCCTGCCGGTTTCCCTGAATCCCCTCATAAATGTTACTTTGCTCACACTCCAACAGCACGTCAAGTATTAAAAACCATTTGTCTCCATTCACTCCTATCAAACACGCTCACGCATGCCTGCTGGAAGTCCAAGCCCCTCGCACACAAAACCTCCTTTACCCCCTCCCTCCAACCCTTCCTAGGCCGACCCCTACCCCGCCTTCCTTCCACTACAGACTGATACACTCTTGAAGTCATTCTGTTTCGCTCCATTCTCTCTACATGTCCGAACCACCTCAACAACCCTTCCTCAGCCCTCTGGACAACAGTTTTGGTAATCCCGCACCTCCTCCCAACTTCCAAACTACGAATTCTCTGCATTATATTCACACCACACATTGCCCTCAGACATGACATCTCCACTGCCTCCAGCCTTCTCCTCGCTGCAACATTCATCACCCACGCTTCACACCCATATAAGAGCGTTGTAAAACTATACTCTCATACATTCCCCTCTTTGCCTCCAAGGACAAAGTTCTTTGTCTCCACAGACTCCTAAGTGCACCACTCACTCTTTTTCCCTCATCAATTCTATGATTCACCTCATCTTTCATAGACCCATCCGCTGACACGTCCACTCCCAAATATCTGAATACGTTCACCTCCTCCATACTCTCTCCCTCCAATCTGATATTCAATCTTTCATCACCTAATCTTTTTGTTATCCTCATAACCTTACTCTTTCCTGTATTCACCTTTAATATGATATGCATACTAATAATACATATATAATAATAATGTACTACATATAATAATTACTTTTAAAAAATAATTTAAAATGCTTCTTCTGTGAAAAATAATTGTTATAAATTTTTTAAGCTGGTCATTGTTTGTTATAGCTATTTGTTGTGTTCAGTTGCAGCAATCAAGCCACATTGCACCAGTGATGGGCACAATGGATGTTCCTGTCCTTAATGATATTGAAGGTGAATATGGCTTTACCGTCACTGTGAAAGACAAGGAACGCACTATGAAGAGTCCAATGTGGTCGGTAAGTGTTTATATCTTGATCATTTATTGTATATATATAGTTTGTGTGTGTGTTCTTACCTGTGTGTGGTTGCAGGAGTTGAGTCATAGCTCCTGGCAGCATTGCCTCTTCACTAGTTGTTACTAGGTCCATTCTCTCATTGCTCCAAGAGCCTTATCATACCTCTTATAGCTGTGTATGGATCCTTCCTCCACTACTTCCATCTCCAGAGTGTTCCACTTGCTGACAACTCTGAGGTTGAAGAAATACTTCTTACATTCCTATGACTGTGTGTGTGTGTGTGTGTGTGTGTGTGGTGTGTACATGTGTGGGCATGCATGCGTGTGTGTGTGTGTGAAAGCATGTGCATGCGTTCATGCATGCATGTACGTACATATTTTTTTTTTAACAATGGCTGTCTCCCACTAAGGTAGGGTGACCAAAAAAAGAAATACTTTCACTATCATTCACACTATCACTGTCTTGCTAGAGGTGCACAAATATGACAGTTTAGATGTCCCTCTAAAACAGCAAATATCCCAAACTCTTCCTTTAGAGTGCAGGCATTGTACTTCTCACCTCCAGGACTCAAGGCTGGCTAACCGGTTTTCCTAAATCCCTTCACAAGATATTACCCTGCTCACACTCCAACAGCTAGTCAAGTCCCAAAAACCATTTGTCTCCACTCTTAACATGCACACACATGGCTGCGGTATGTCCAAGTCCCTTGCACACAAAATCTCCTTTACTCCCTCCCTCCCTCCATCCTTTCCTATGGTAACCCCTACCCCTGATTCTCTCCACTACATATTTATACACCCTCAAAGTCATTGTAAGAAATTGGAGCAAGCTAAACCAATTAATAAAAAAACTGTAGAAGGTACTTAGCTTGAATGAAGGCTCAGCATCTCCGCAGCCACACCTAGAGTCGTTGTCTTAAGGAGCCATCAAACTTCAATCCTTTGGGCTGTGGGAAATTCCAATTAATGAGTAAATAATTGCCTCTGAGGAGCGTATATATTTCAGCATTTCACTTAGACAATGCTGAACAGAAACTTACTTTTTTGGGCTCAATGGCCTGTGGATTACTGGGTATATTGGCAAATCTAGACATGTTATGCCCTAGCTGCCTGCTGCGCAGCCAACCTAACTAGGTGCATAACTGACTAGACTTACCTGGGTATATGTATCGGACCAGCAAGGGTTTTTCCCCCCTTCCCTTTGTGGTAGGGAAGCCCCCAAAAAAAAACCGTTGTCTTAAATGAAGTAGAAGTGTATCAGGGGTGAAACTCTCTCTGAAGATTTTTTCCCCAACACAAAACGGTTTTACTCTACACTGAGATCAAGTTTAAAGTTTTTTCCCTTTGGGTAATGTCACAACAGGAAGATAAGTCCCTTTTCACTGCAATAGTTCTAACCACGAATTTTTTGAATTGTCACTGAGAAACAAACCATGCAGATCACTAGTTTTTCTTTTTTCCCAGCATTAAGCATTTTTCCCCCTTTCCCCGGGGTTTTAAAAGGCAATCTGAATCCTTGTTGCAGGCTTCGCTCGGGTGCCCCTCCTTACAAAGGATTTCTAAATTTCGGGCTTTGGGTTTCCCTTCTTGCAAAACCCCTCTTCACAGTTTTCAATACAAGTATAGATTTTTTGATATCCATTGATCGACAAGAGTTTCATTTATTCCCCCCACAAAGCATTTTAAAGTGTGAAAGGATTTTCCTGTCCCTTTTCCCTAAAAAGGGGAAAAAAAAGTTTTTACCTCACTTCTTTATCACTCAATAGCAGTAAAACACTGGGTGCAAAAAAGGGGCTATGTGACTAAAAACTCGGGTACCCCACTGCTTTTTTGCACCCTCCCTTCCAGTTTACTGTTGTTTGGGAAGAAAGATCCCTTTTTGCCTTTCTGAGAGGGTTGCCCCATCGGGGGGCTGAAAACCCTCCCCTTTCTGGGGGAAATTTTTCTCCACAGCCCATCCTATTTTTCTCCTTTCCTCTCGAATAAACCAAACTGCCCATGGGGGTTTTTTCGATAACGGGGGATAGGTAAGAAAAACCCCACTGGGGCTGGTAGTATGTATAATAAAAACAGAAAGTGTGGGAAAGCGCCAACAGCCGTCCTGCCTCTCTCTCCCTCCCAAAGCCTGACTAACCCATGGTGCCTATGGGCGGGGGGGTTTTTTTGAAACCCTGCTATGTCACAGCAATATAATACAGCCCATGATTCAGGGCAGAACGGTTGGTAGTGAGTCACTATTGGTACACTGGTTACTGGTAACGGGTTACATGGAACTGGTCTACTACTGAGAAGTCGGCGACGCTAAGGGAAAGCCCGCCCCCAAAAACAACTAATACAAACGGGAGTTTGCGGTATACGGTTTGGGCTGTTTTCTATACAATGCCCAAAGTAAAACAAAAAATTTGAGCATTAAAATTACATAATAGAACTTTGGATCAAAGCTTACATAACTGAAACTGAAAATGCAAAAACAAAGTATAATATAGCACAACTCTTCGACTCAACTTTTGAGATGACACAATAGAAGTGAAAAAAAAAAATTTTTTGATCGATCGTTTTTAAATTCATGTGTTTTTTTTTCCTAGGGTTTTTCGGGAAGGAATTATACAAAGAAGAAGTTTTAAAAACCAGAAAGGCAGATTGGGTTTGGCACTCAAATCTAGACGGGTTTAACCCCTCAAACTCGGAAAAGAACTGAACACAAAAAAAATTTTTAAAATACGGGAAAAGTGATATGTAATTATTCATCTATACAGGTTATTTACATTTAACCCCAAAATCTGCTAGGGTGAGATTGACATATGCAAAATGGGGGGCCCATTTTGGGGAGGATAAAACCTGAACCACTGGCTAACTCATGCTGTATTTGAGGCAAATCTGAATTGGGAATTTAAACAAATGATACTTGAGTTTTCTCAATACCTGTCGTGTAGGGAGGGAAAAACGACATTCATTTGATGTCTGACTGAGTATTAGAGGTAGAGGGGAACAAAATCAGGGGGAAATTGCCCAAGTCTTTTCACATAATTCGGGTTTTTGGAAAAATCTTTAAAACCTCCCAAACAACCCTTCAATTGAAAAAAAGCTTTTCTTTATACTGACCAGTACCAATTTAAAAAAACCCTTATAAAAGTGACCCCCGGAAAACGAACTTTTTTCTTTTCCAGTAAATTTTTCAGGTGCCGGGACGGACCAAATTTTTTTTCCCAAAGGGAAAAATTGTGAATTTAATTAGTTCCATTTCAGCCCCCCAAACATACACGACAAACCCCCTTACATAAATACACTTACAAAATTTTGGTCGCATTTGGGGGGGTTTCTTTAAGGGGGGTCCACTGTACTTATTACCAGGATATTTTCAACACTCATAAGGACCAACAAATTTTTGACCCAAATTTTTGGCATTGCCGACGTTTTTTTTTTAAAGTTAGTCCCAAAACCCTCCCCGAACCTACTTTGTTTTTTGGTTTGGCTTGGCTCGGTTTTTGCGACTCTTGAAAATTCTGCTGTTGATTTATGAAGTTTTTTAAACGGATTCTTCTAAAAAAAATTTTTGAGCTAAGCGGGAAACGATTTTGCTATGAAATCACCCGGGTTTTGAAATTTTGGGTTTTCGGATTAGAATATAGCAACTCATAAGGCAAACGTTTTATCTACACCTTTACAATGCATAATGGGGAGTTCACCTAAAAAACATTGTAAGCAAAATTTTATAGCCACGGGAAACATAGGTATAACTTCATCCCAATTTTCATTTTTGGGATTGATAGTGGCTCTAAAGACATCAATTTACATACTTTTTTATTTTGGTTTGTTCCGCTAACCCATTGCGGCAGATATGAGAACAATGGTGGTTTTAGAGATCTTGTACAAGGTGAAAAAAATTTTTTCAAGAATCCTTTACAAATTCCCCCCAATTATCTCTTTACAATAGACTTAGGGGGTGGTTGCCTGCAGATAATCGTTCTTTAAACGTTTTTAGCTACTGGCTCGGCAGCTTATCTGCAATAGGAACTAACTCACAATATTTTGGTAAAATGGTCTAAAATAACACATGGGATGTTTTTTTCCCCGGAGGGAAACATTGGAAATTATTTTAACAAATTTTAGCGCAACTTTTTCCCCATGGTTCGCTTTATTTGGATACCCCTTGGTTTGGAAAATTTAGGACCTTTAAAGCATTCCCCTTTAAATTTACATGCAGACACACATTTTTTAAACAAACCCCCAAAATATCATTTTTGCCTATGGGGCCCAAAAATTTTTTCAATCTGGCTTGTTTTACGGGAACGATCCATACCGGGGTGTGCAACACCTGGTAAAATTGTGAACTAGCTGTAAGTTCCAAAATTAAACTAGTGACTTTTGGAAATTTAACTAACTGGAAAAACTCTTTTCCCTATGAGAACCCAAACTCGGCTGTTCGATACGAAATTTTTGGGTTCAGGGAAAAAAAGTCACTGATGGGTGCTGGGGGTTTTTACAGCAAAAAAGACCCTTCCGGGGAGCAGGAATCGAATCACACCAGACCGCAGGGTCTTTTTCGTTGGGGCTTTTCTTTCCCTTTTCCCAGCACTAAACGGGGGGTTCTGCAGTTACTATACTAACATGTTCCGATAAGGAAATCTGCGACCCCCCAAGGACCTTGCCGGGAAAGTGTTAAAAAGGGGGGATTAAACCCCTTTTGGGTTTAGCCCAAAGGCCCAAACTCAAACCCTTCCCCGGTGGGGTTTGTTTTTTCTAAAAAAGGTACAGTGGACCCATGGCGTCAAGACATAAAAGTACTAAATAAATAATGTCCAGAAGTGCTTTAAAGAAAAAATCCCATTGCTAAAGCTTCTTGCTCATTAAACTGTAAAAAATTACTTTCACCCTTCGTAAGGACTTGGCTAGCAAAATGCAACTGCTTTTGTACTTGCCATCAGCCCTTCTGAGCTAGTACGGCACCTATGCCAATAGAACTAGCATAAATTGTCAGATAAAAGGGCTTGGGAAAAATCT